CAAAGATTTAGCAGGAAAACTCAAGGGGAGCTGAAGGGACGCACATAGCCTTGAAAACACTTGTTTCACTTCAAAATGCAGAGGTCTGACCCACCCTGCCTGCCCCCAAAAGCTCTTGGTCACCAGCCAGGGTTCCATCCCAGGACGGGTAATTTAAGCAAACGCCGCCTCCGCTGCTCTGGCCTCTTGGCGCCTCTGCCTCCTCCCTTCCTTGAGCTTCCCTTGGTCAAAGAGGTTCACCTTCCAAATGAAGGCGGCTTTCTCCAGACCCAGGATGCGAACAGGTGCTTGTGTTTCAAGAAGTTCCAGGTAAACCCAAGGAAAGGGAAGAAGAGCCAAGGTTCCAGGAGTAAGAAACGCTGTCTTATAAAATACGCCTGTGCAGGAGGAGGGAGCCGGCCACAGGTTTAACGTCAGACGCGGGTCTTCTTCTCTCCTTTCCCCATTCATTCCGGTTTCCACCCAAACCAGGCAGCCTCAGCGCAGTATCTTTTGCATTTCGGATTGTGATTTATTGTCCGGTATAGGGATGTTAAAATCAGTTATTCAGAAGAAAAGTCCGTATCAACTTGTGAAGCTCTAGTGTGTTTCTCTCATTTGTTGTTAAACTCTGGGGACTTACAAGAAATAACTGAACTCTCAAAATAAGTACTATTTATGTCTGCAGAGTCTTGGCCCTTGGAAGCTTGCTCTTTTTGAAGAATGTTATTAGATGTTCACTGGTAAACTTAAACCTCTTTTTCTCTTCCTGAGCCTTGTTCTGGGTTGTCCACCCATCTAGGATGGAAGCCACCTGGCCTTGCCCCTGCCGTATCACCTTGTGTGTCTGAGCCCACATCCCACAGAGCACCCAGCCCAAACCCGAAAACCTTCCAGGGAAGGAATGAGTGCCACGATCCAAGGGGGTTCGCTCAGGCCGCTCATGTCTCTGTTTTCTTGATTTTCAGGTTGGCAGTGCCCACTCTTTCATCTTAGACTCTCTGACCCTTGCTTCCACCCTCCCCTCATTCCTTTTCTCACCTTCCTGTTCTGTCTGGGTTCTTCTTTACCAAAGTCTTGTCTCAGCATTGTGCCCTGTTAGAGGGCTTCATCATCAGGCCACACAAAGCTCGTTACCTTGAACAAAATCACACAACTTTATAATTAGAGGATGATTCCCATCCAGTCTTCCTGAGCTGAGACCTTATTATTTAGCATTAGAACACTTCATTGCATTTCTGTTGTTTGGTGCCTCCGATTAGGTTGCAAACTTCTTCATTGGACATCTTTTGAATAATGGGCATGGACATTGAGTCAGAGTCCAACCCAAAGCCAGAGGCAAGATTTTTCGGAGGCGACATCTGCAGGTGGCAGTGGTTCTGGGTCTGCTCGCCAAGTCACATTACACAGGAGCGCCCGCAGGTCAGCAGCAGTGCCGGCCCTCGCTGTCCACGGGGGGCGGCGCCAAAGCCTCTGCTTCTGTTCTGCTTGAGCTCAAACCCACGACAGAGACAACCCCTGGAGGGCATGGGGAGTTTAAAACACGGCCAGAGTTTTCGAGTTGAAGGTGACGATGTCAGATTGGTCGGTTGGTAGGTGTCATTCGCTTGTGCATGCAAATAACAGATGTTCGGGAATCTTGCTTATGACTGTGTGTGTGTGTGCGCGCGCACGCGCGCATAGCTTAGGTGGGCTGCATTTCTCCAGCGTGTGTGGACACCACAGAGTTATGGGAGAGTCGATTCCGCAGTACATGATGGGATGCCTGGCTGGCTCAGTCTGTAGAGCATACGACTCTTGAAGATCGTGAGTTTGAGCCCCGCGTTGGGCATAGAGATTACTTAATTTTAAAAAGAAAAGGGGCATACATATGGATAAAAGGCAGATTTCCCCCCCCCTTGTTTCTTGGAGGTGCCTTGATAGTACATTGCTTTTGTTTGTAGGTCACACTCACTGCTTGGCAAGATCTGACACCATAGATCTGGAATAAGCCTCGGCTTCAGTGCAGCCTCTCTCACATGCTCTCCTTGCCAGAGTCCAGACAGACCCCCAGCAGTGCAGGCGTGGACTTCAGCTCTGCCTGCAGGAGGCGGTGAACTGTGGACACGCTTCAAAGCTTTCTGGCCTTCTTGCTCCCTATACAAATTTGTCATTAGATGAGGCGATATTTAAAGGCTCTGGTCAGTCTCATGTTTTCTGATAGGGTCCAGGAAGCTTTGCACTTGACTGTGCAGTGGGCAGAGGCAGTTCGGGGTTAGGGAGGTAGGATGGGTGTATAAGAGGTGCCCTTGCTGGTTGGCTGATGAACTCTAGGAAAACACGGGTGTGCCTCGTGGCTCAGAATGACTTTCTATACATTGTTAACCTGGACATAGGTCACAGAAAATAGGGTGGAGGAGGGCGAACAGATGATTAACAAGGTGACCATGATGCTGAGTACATGGGTAGCTTCTAACGTGCAAGAGAACGATCATTGGGGTGCTGCTTAAGAATTTAACCCTTGAGATTTGAATCACGCTGAAGGGCCCCCACCTACTCATTCAGGAAGTATTTATTGAGATCTTTAGAAACCTTTGTATCATGACACATCATCCCCTATCTCCTGGGTTTACCTAAAGCAGGGCGCACCTTTTTACTTGGAGAGGTTGTGCTCGTGTTCATCTCGGCAAAATCCCTCGGAGAGTGGGCCTTGGCAGGGCTCGTGAGAGCTAGACGCAGCAGTGCTGTGTATGGACGCCCCCGTGGGCGTGGGGGTCAGGGCTGCATTTCAGGCCAGCTCTGCAGGGGCTGCCTGCCCTGGTCAGCAGGACCCTGCGCGGCCGGGAGCCTGTCCTGCGTCCGCGCCCCTGTAGCTGAGGTCTGGCACACGGCTTGCACTTGTGCAGCTGGACCCCGGGAAGAGCTCTTGGCTTTATTGTTCTGGCTGATCTACAACCACCTGTGTGTGGAAAGGGGGAGGCAGTCAGTACCTCTGAGGACGTGAGCAGAGAGTGGGGCAGAGCCAGAAAACAGGACAGAGTTGGGAGAAAGTAAGAATTCCTGTGTGTCAGTTTGGTTTCTTTCAGTTACTGGGATTTGAGGAGTAAAGAGCAATTCTTCCCTGAGTTCTGAAGTACTGAGGGGGGGGGAAAAAGAGACCTGTTACGAGTGATGATGCCCGTCCTGGGGGAAGCGGACGGCTCAGGCGGGGACCCCACGATTTGACAGACCTGCCCCACCAAAGCACAGGGGTGCTGATCTCCACAGCCTCCCATGGCGGGTGGGGTGGGGCGCCCTGGGCCTCCAAGTGGACCGCACCGTCCCCAGAGTGGATCCGGCATGTGCTGTTTGCCAGTAGGGTGGCTCCCAAGGGGCCGAGGAGAGAAGCAGCCGACTCTGCGTGCCCAGTTCCACTGCCCTGCTGTGCAGAGGAGTGAGGAGAGGCAGGAGTGTGCGGCTGGCGGGACTGCCGGGGGTGGGGCTGGTGCAGAAGTGAGGGGAAAGTGCGCCCCAGTGATGAATCCAACGCATTCTGGCTGAAGTTACCAAGGGAATTCGCTCACACCCTGGGGACAGCCTAAAGTAGATCAAGATTCAGGCTTGTCGGGATCCAGAAGCTTGAATGGCTTCGGGAAGGGGGCGGGGGGGGGGGGCGGGGTGCTGCCTTCTCCTGGTTTGACTTCACTTCCTCCTCAGAAGGTTCTTTCCCTGTGCCCTCACCAGGGTTCCAGACTTCTAGGACCCTTAGATCTTAACTTCAAAGATAAAGACAGCATTTTTTCTGACCTCTCCATGAAAAATCTCCGTATTACATCAGAGAAGACCATGAGTCCATATCTGAATTAGTCACTCTGGATTGAGGGATCAGAAACAGCGTCAGCTTTGCATCACTTGGACCAAACAGGATTAGAGAAAAAAAAATCTGAAGAGTTGGCCTCCAAAGAAGTGCTGCACGTATCCACCAAATTTTAAAAATTAACAGTAGTTAAGTTGAATAATGGGACTATGGTTGTCTTTGTCCTAAATACTGGTCCCATTTTTCTTGGCATGTATTACTTTATAAGTTGGGGGGTGAGGGTATAAAAATAATTTTTGTAAGTCTGTTTTAACCTTGCCCCCCAAAAGATACAGGATGCTAACACAAAACATGTAAAATAAAGAGATAAAGAAGCAAATGAGACAAGGGGAATAGGAGATTGAGAAGCAAGAGCCAAGGAGGAGTTCCTTGATATTTGCCAGAAATAGGACACCTAGATACAAGAAAAACCTTTTCCTCAATTTGGGAGGGAAAAGGATCTATGACTCTAAGGAGCCAGGGGAGGAGGAGGTTCTGAGGATTCCTGGTTTTCAAGGTGGTGGCCACAGTCCATCCCAATATCTGATCACCTTCCAAAGACACTGTCACAGAGCCTCCAGTCTGAACCCATCGCTTCTACTGGGAGAGCAGCTCTCACCACCAACAGACAGGGGCCTTCATTCTCTGTGATCCTCGCTCTCTTTCTCTCTCTCTCTCTCTCCCAGCTTACAGTGACCCCCAAGGCTTGCCTTCAACCCAAAGATTACAAAATTTCTCCCGGGAAAGCCAATGCCCACGATACCCTTGAGATACCCTTATTTCTGAGACTTTCCCAGGCTGGGATTAGCTCCACACACAAACACTTGGGTTTGGTTTTTGTCTGTTTGCATCTCCCCTGCTCACCAGGGTCCCATGCAGCCAGGGCTACAAATGAGGTGACCGTTCTTGATCAAATGTAGCAGACCCTTTCCCCAAAGCCTGGTGACTGCTCCCACATTTGAGAAAACAAACCCAACTTTCCAGGGTTAGGTGGCTGGCTTTCTCTGCCCTTTGAGCCTGCCACATCATGTTTAGACAATCGGGCCCTTTAGGGGTCCTTCTGCCTCCCACAGCCAAGATAAACTCCAGATTTCGGGAAGTCCAACAAGACACCACAAGTGGGGGTAGACGGCATGTTCGGTTTGGGTATGTGGGTTTGGTTTTTGTTTTTGTTTCAATTAATTCTTGGTTACCTCCCTCTACACAGACAGCTACAGACAGTTCTTCTAATTCCTCCCAGAAGAGGGAACAACCTACTCGGACAATCTCCTCTCCCACATCCTGTGAGCACCGGAGGATTTATACCCTGGGCCACCTCCACGACTCATACCCCACGGACCACTATCACCTCGAACAGGTGAGCAGCCGTCTGGTTCTTCCGAGAGCACAGGGTGGGCAGCTCCTGATTCTGGAACAGCCCCCTTCCCCTTCCATGTGGCGGCGGCACATCCTTACTTAGTTTTCTGTGTGCCAGACCCCGTGCTAAACCTTTCCTGTGCTTAATCTCGTTGAATCCTCACAAATTATCCCACGAGGCCCCGGTTTATAGAGGAGAAGGCTGAGGGCTCAGAGAGAGTCCTTGATGGGACAAGTTACAGATGCAGGCATGTGCTTACCCAGAGTGCCGTGCTGCCTCCTGAGTTCCTCTGTGCACACGGCTTCCTGGCTTGGTGTGCAAGCCCGGAGCCAGGATCAGGACTAAAGAATGCTGTCCGCTTGGCTCGGGCACCCTGGCATCGCAGGCTGCAGGACCAGGCTTGCTTGGGGAGATGTAGCTGGAATCTGGAATTCAGTAATTCAACAAATATTTACCGAGTGGCTGTTTTGCGGAGCAGGTTCCCAAACTGTGGGACATGGACTGGTGCCCGTAGAGGGTGATGTGGCCACCAGGCTGCTTTGAAAAGAAAAAAAGGAACACAGGGCAGGGAGAGTTTTGTTTTCAACATAAAGCTAGATTTATAGAACTCTAAAAAATCCTATTGTATGCTTCCTAATATTTTGGCACTAAAATGTTCTTAAAAATCACTTTATCGTAGCTATAGATGGGAATTGATCTTTTGACTGTCCTTACTTTGCAAAATAATTAGCAAAGCCTATTCTCCCAGGATTTGTTTTGATTTATATAAAATTGTGGTTTTCCAAAGTCTGTGAAACTCAGGAATCTAATAGGAATTAGGCAACATGTGTGAGACGTGGTCCCTGCCCTCAAGAGGCTCACAGTCTGGTGAGAGTGATGGATAGAATTACCAGGTGATAAATTCTAGGACAGTATTAGAATGACAATAATGGTGACAGGTTCTGTGTGCACTGTGTGTAGATTCTCTTCATTCTCATGATAGCCCTGTGCTATTTGATAGAGAATCTGAGGCTTGCTGGTAAATTCCAAAGTCTGAATTTTACTCTAGTGGTTTCACTCAGAGCCATGTTCCTTACCCCTTAAAAAGCCTTCATCCCCAGAGGACCTCTGAGGTAGAAAATCTCACTTTCTGCCACACCGAGGGTGCCTGGGCCAGGCAGGCTTACCTGCCTCTGTTTGCTAACAATGGCTTCAGCGCCTTCCACCCTGAACAGGGCCTCCCTGCAAGCCATAGCAGGACTAGCTGCCCAGATGACTTTGTCGCCTCCAGGAGAATGCCAGGAGGGGAGGGTTTGGAAGGCTGGGGGTGGGGCTCTGGGTCTGGCCTGCTTGAGCTCACATTCCAGCCTGCCCCTCACCAGCTATGAGATCCTGGCAGGATTCAAACTCCAGGCAGTCAGCCTCCGGATCTGCACTCCTACCCTTTCTGTATCTTCCCAACCAGATGACAAGATACCCCTGTATCCTAGCTCCTCATATCCCTTTTTGCTTTCCTGAACATGACCCACAGTGCAAAATGCATATTCTCTTGTGACCCAGTGTGCACCTGTTTGCATACATACCTTATAAGGGGCAGTACACTCCCGTGCTTTTCTGTTTCACCGGGAAAAAAGCTGGTCTTGCAAAAGGGAACACGCTGTACAGAAACAGGTGAAACCAATCTAAGCTGTTAGAAATCAGGACCGCAGTCATGGTCCCCTTAGAGGGAGGAGGTAACCGAAGGGAGGTGGGCAGGGGCCTAGGGAGGCCTCTCAAGTTCTGCGTCTCCCTCTTGGTGTGTTCAGCTTCCAAAAATTCAAAGTGCCTTTTTACAGTCTGCACACGTTCCCTCATGTATGGTAGCACCTCAACAAAAGGATTTCCGACCCAGGAACGGATTGAGAATCACAACTTACAACACACCTCTGACCTAGGAGCTGTTCAGTAATTCCAGGATGGGTCCGTTTTTTTTTTCCAAGAAATGCCTTTGTCAGGGCCAAGTAAGTGGAGGATTTTGTTTTTGCCGCTGCTATAAAATGGTGTCTCCTTTCTCCCGGGGCAGCCGATGCCGAGGCCCTACCGCCAGGTGAGCTTCCCCGACGACGACGAGGAGATCGTGCGCATCAACCCGAGGGAGAAGATCTGGCTGACGGGCTACGAGGACTACCGGCACGCGCCCGTGAGGGGCAAGTCCCCGGACACGTCGGAGGACGCCGACTCGTACGTGCGCTTCGCCAAGGGCGAGGTCCCCAAGCACGACTACAATTACCCGTACGTGGACTCCGCGGACTTTGGCCTCGGCGAGGACCCCAAAGGGCGCGGGGGCGGCGTGATCAAGACCCAGCCGTCCCGGGGCAAGTCCCGGCGGCGGAAGGAGGACGGCGAGCGCTCCCGCTGCGAGTACTGCAGGGACATGTTCAACCACGAGGAGAACCGCAGGGGCCACTGTCAGGACGCGCCCGACTCCGTGAGAACTTGCATCCGCCGCGTGAGCTGTATGTGGTGTGCGGACAGCATGCTCTATCACTGTATGTCGGACCCCGAGGGAGACTATACAGACCCGTGCTCGTGCGATACTAGCGACGAGAAGTTTTGCCTCCGGTGGATGGCTCTTATTGCCTTGTCTTTCCTGGCCCCCTGTATGTGCTGTTACCTGCCCCTCCGGGCCTGCTACCACTGCGGAGTGATGTGCAGGTGCTGCGGCGGGAAGCACAAAGCGGCCGTGTGACTCGGTTTCCCTCCTTCCCCTCCTCCTCCTCCTCCTCCCCCCACAGCCACAAGGGAACTTGTTGTCTCCGACATACTCTCACCTTCTTCCCCGCTCCCTGGTACCTTGAGGAGCTATTCCAGCCTGGGGAGCCTGCCTGGTGGACTCTGCACTTCCCCCAGCCACCCACCCACTCTGCATCAGACACACACGCACGCACACAGTGTTCGAAGGACAGGAACCTCCGCACAGACACTCGGGTATTATTAACAACCTGTAATCAATCTGTCTTATACATGTGTTGATTTCATGTCTTTCCTGCCCACCTCTTCCAGTGCAAAGGCGCCTGTAGTCGTAACTGGCGGTTTGGGGTGGGGTATATAGTTGGTTTCTCCCAGACGCTCTTTCTCTTGGTTCAGCTTGCTGGTCGCTAAGGAGCATCGGGTTCCTGCGGATAGGTAATGTCAGAACGATGAAACCCCACCAGAAGTATTTTAACCTGCAGTCAGATTATGTATAGTTAACAAACTTCTAGTTAACAAACTTCTACCCCGAAACGAGATCGCTTTAACTTTTGTAAAGCCAAATTTCCCAATGAAGCTGCAGTTTCTATCATCATTCTCTGTCAATTATTTACTGATGCAAAACATTCACCCATAAAATGACTGAGAATTGAGCCTTAACCTCAGATTAACTTGTGTGAATCAGGAAAATTCCTTAAACCGCATTGCATCCTCATGGACCAGGGCTAGAGAAGGGGGATTTCAGGTCCCTCTGAGCCTCCACATAACCCCTAAAGTAGAACTTTTTTAAAATTGTGTCACCACCACTTCTAAAAATTTAGCAATATTAGAAGAAAACACTAAGAAATTGTGCTCATTGTTTTGCAAACGAAATAGTCTAGTCGCACACACACACACACACCCGTGTTCTCCAAAGAGTTACAGTTGAGAAACACTGAGGTTGTGGTAAATAAAATTAAAGGAGCTTCCTCCCACACCCCCACTGGCTATTTTCTGGGGGGAGGCGGGGGGTTGCATTTTAAATGTCCTAAATCTGAAGAGTGGTGGGTTGCATTTTATTTGTGGGTTTCTGTTTTTGTTTTCATTCTGGACTGAATTTCCCATCACCAAATTCTTCATTTATACTTGGGGGGAAAAAAAACAAGGCCATATGTAAAAACCCTTCCAATGCCTAAGTGTCTTTCTCCTGCATCTCCAATCCCAGACTTACCAGTTCGGGTGCACAGATGGTTAGGTTAGTAGTCTGGGTCTACCTGTCGCCTTGCCATGTAGGAGGCTTCTACTTAGCTGGAAAAGAGTATTTTTCTAATATATTGCAAGGAGTAGCCAAATCTTCTTGTTGCAGAAAGAAGAAAAGTGAAGAGTGGTACTTAGCATAGTACAATCAGAACGTCACGGAGACCGTAGGGGACAGGCTTGTCAAGGCTGGCTGTTCTTCCCGCCATGATTTCCCTGTGGTAATTGCCAGCTCAGGGCATGGCCTGCTCTCTGTATCTCCACTTCCCCCATCCCTTCTCTATTGCACACAGGACAGCAGTCTTCAAGGAAAGGGACTTTTTTCCAGTCTGCCAATCATATTGAGAAAGTGCTAGCCATGCTTACCTTCATGGAATGTTTTCAGTTCATCTGAGCGCCCATCACATCTCTTTAGTCAGATCATCGGTGTAAATACTCCGTGTGCTTAGGAGTTAGTTGGTAGACGTTTTTCCTTTGTTGGAGTGACTGGTTTGGGCCTTCCTGCTTGGAAAAGGAGCAGAGTGCTGTCAGTCTGGTGATGGAAGAAACGAGAACTGCTTCCCAGCCTGGAGAACATGTAGAAGACCTCCAGCCAGCCTCCAGACCCTGTCAAGAGACCAGCTCCCACCCCACCAAGCCCCCCATCCTGAGGCATTTCCTCAGGGCCTTTTCTCAAGGTCTCTCCTCTCTACAAAGCACAACACTAATGTAGGTTTGTTAGACCTCAGTTCAAGTGCCCCTATTTATTTCACTAGGAACACACATCCTGCCGCGTTTTGTTTGTAGTCCCTGTCTAGTGGTTATTTACCCCTTGTCTTTTTCCACCCCTTTGAAGAGTTATGCTAGTGAATCTTACTCCGCCTATACGTTTTGGTCTGTGAAGGCAGCGAGCGGTTAAGGGCACAAGGACAGCCGTAGGGACACTGATGTAAATACGTCTCTAATTGCCACACTGCAGCTGAACAGTGTGTAGTATTTTCCCAGTCAGCTTTGCCATACTGACGTCAATCATTTGAGAGAAATTATTCAGATTTTATTTTTGTATCTGTGGTAACAAAACATTAACCAAAAGATTTGTTTGGAAGCTTCCTCTGACCACCCACCCCCCCAAGCTATTTGCTCACATTAACAAAGTGCCTGAAGCATAATTCATTCTTTACCTGTATACTAAAAACCCTGTTGTATTGATTTTTTTATAATAAGCCTTTTTACCTCTGTGTAAAAAATATATATACAAGTGTATGATGTACATTTTAGTTCTTAACTTTTTTTTATGGTTTCTAATATGTATGACCAATGTAGCCATTGCTTTAAAATGTACCATGTAAATATAAACACATCCTATCAGATTGTTGACTTTGGGGTATTTGTCTAGCAGGAGATTGGGGGGGGTGGTTGAGCCTCGGCGCACGCGAGAGTTCTTGCACAGAGGATGGGAAGGGGCTTTCTTTGGAGAAGGACGCGTGGACACTGGTCTGTTTTTGTGAGGCCCTTCCCGGCTGTGGTTATGTCATATTCCCGAGGGGAGACTGCAGCTCCTTGGGCTTGGATGCCTCAAGCAAAAGGAATGCTGTATGTCACAGCCCTGGGAACACCCCCTCGTCCTAGGCCTGGCTTCCCCCACGCGTGCTCCTCAGAGGGAACAGCTGTATTTCCTCCGAGTTGTTTTCCACCAATTCCCGCCGAACCTCGGGTGGGTGGGTTTGTGTGGAGTTTGGGAGACGGTTTCTCACAGAAAACAATTGTTAACACTGCAAGACCCTTGGTCTCCTCAGAGTGGTTCTGTTTCAGTGACATCTGGACCACTTTCCCTTCCAAATGGGCTCTTTGGATGCCCAAAAGTTACAGTGGCAATCCCCCAGAGGAAGTAGAGTGTGGGGTCTTTTAAGGGTCACAGGGGAATGTTTCAGCTCCTCTCTAGAGAACGAGCAGGGGCCTTAAAAAGACACGGAGAGGGGCCCCCTGTCTTAGTTTTAACTCTTCCAAGCCACTGGCAAAGGTGAAAAACAATAGGAGATGCTGGAAGTTGGAAAGCAAGGGGAGAGAAACGAGCCATAAAGATTAGTAACTGTAAAGTTACTGATGTAAAGATGATCAGAGAACACAAAATCTGTTCGGAGTAGGAGGGGCATAAAGATTATAGTGGGGTGAAGAGCCAACATGGAAGAAGACATCCAATGGAAAACATGTTTTCAAGAAATTTGATGAGCCCTGGTCCTTTCCCAGCCTTGCTCTCATACCTCTGCTCACCTCTCTGGGGGCTTGAAAAGGGGTCACTGGTCCAGAGCCTTGCTCAGTCCTCGCTGCTTTCTTGGGCCCATCAGTCTGCCTCAGGATTAGCTGGTCATCTGGTGCCTTGTGTGCTCAGCCAGGAGCTGGGCGCGCTGCACACATCATCTCCTTTAAACCCCTGCCGAGAAGAGGGTCATTTCCACTCAGGTGAGAAAGCAGGTATGAAGTCCATTAATTCAATCTTGACTCAGTGTCTCTGTCATTGTTAGCCATTAACCCTTGGGCAAGTGAGTTCACCTCTCGGAGCTTTGGTTTTTTCAGGCAGAACAAGTGGAATACCACCTGTCCTCTGGGAAGGTCAAAGGCAGGGTGTTATACAGGCGGCGCTTCGAAATGCCAGTCCTGTCCTCAGTTCCTCCTGTATTCTGGAAACCTGAGGAAAACATCAGGGGGCTGAAGTCATTATGGCTATTTTGTGAGTAGACCTACCACATATACGTCAAGATTTCTTTTTCTTAACCTCTCTGCAATTCTAAATTCGGCTTTGATTCCTTGCTAGCCCAAGGGCTAGCTGCAGAAGTGTACTAGGCTGGCTGGATTCCTCCAGGACCAATGCATGCAACTTGCCAGACCGTCCAGGGCCTCGGTCCGAGCAGTTCTGCTGAGAGGGCTAGATCTGGCTCAGCCTATTTGACCAGGATTGGAGCACATGGTCTTGCAGAGCTCTGCTATCTTAAACCTTCCAGCCCTCTGGTGGCCTTGACCCCTGCAAGTCAGTGCCCTCCTCTCCTGGGCCCCTGCTCCTCCCTGCTGCCCCCCACCCCACCCCCGGAAAAGCAAGACATCTTCCCAGGGGAAGAATTGTTGGAAGAATTCTGGTTTTGGCTTGTTATTCTAATGTGGCTTCGGGCAGGCAACCCCTCTGCATGAATGAGGGGCCAGAGCTTGTAAAAGTGTGCGAGCTGCTTGCAGGCACCTGGGACTTTCTGATTTGTGGGGTGAGATGGTTAGAAATGCCACACTCGGTCTAGGCCTGAACCAGATGTGTGCAATGAAGGGAGATGGGACTGGGGACATCTTGCATGACCAGACGCTAGTTGTCACCTAGCAGATCAGGGCCCAATGATCTTCTCAGCTCGTGGCCCCCGAGAGAGAGAAGGCAGTGTTGGGTGGGGGTGAGTAGCAGGAGGTATGCTCCCTATTTACTGCTGAGGAATAAAACCAGTTATGTGATAGTCATGCCTGGTCCTCTTCTCCCCTCTTCTGTCTCTTCTCTCGTTTTTCAGAATTAAAAACGGAAGGGGAGTGCTCTGATTATAGGCTATACATAGTCATTATAACAATGTCATATGCTACAAAAATATAAAAATGGGAGTCTCCTTGTGTTAGGTTGCTAGGGCTGCCATAAAGTACAGACTGGGTAGCTGAAACAACAGAAATGTATTGTCTCCGTTATGGAGGCTAGAAGTCCAAACACAAGATGTGAGGGGAAAATTTGCTCCAGGCTTTTTACATGGGCTTATAAGTGGCCATCTTCTCCCTACGTCTGTTCATATCATCTTCCCTCTGTATGTGTTTGTGTCCCAATTTCCCCTTTTTATAAGGATATCAGTCATACTGGCTTAAAGGCCCACCCTGATGACCTAATTTTTTAATTTGATTACCTTTGTAAAGATTCAATTCTCTAAATAAGATCAAATGCTGAGGTACTACAGGCTAGGACTCCATTATTAATTTGGGGGAGACCGTTCAACCCGTAACACTCTCCTGTCCCACCGAAAGTAAGCACTGTTTGTTTTTCTGGACTTTTCTATGCATTTATACATAGATGGGGGTGAGTATACATTGTTCTTACCTAAAAATATGTCCTCAGCCACTCTTAGTTCAGTCCATTTATGGTATTTTTGATAGGTATGTCCTCATTGCCATTTTGTTTTCTGGCGGTTTTGTAGTTCCTCTGTTCCTTTCTTTCTTTGTGCTTTCCTGCTTTCTTCCTTTCTTGCTTTCTTCCTTTGTGATTTGATGATTTTCTGTAGTGGTACTCTTATATTCCTTTCTCTTTTTTGTATCTACTATAGGTTTTTGCTTTGTGGTTACCATGAAGCTTACATATGACAGCTTATAAGAGCAGTCAATTTTAAGTTGATAACAACTTGATTTTGAATGCATCCTAAAGCTCTACATTTTTACTCCACCCACTACAATTTGTCTTTAATACATTTTACATGTTTTTATCTTGTGTATCCTTTAATTATCGTACTTCTTTTTACTACCTTTTTTTATCCTTTGTACTAGCTTTATAAAGTAATTAATCCACCACCTCTACAACATTACAGGATTCTAAATTTTACTATATATTTACCCTCACCAGTGAGATTTATACTTTCATATGTTTTCCTATTACTAATTAGCACCCTTTCCTTTCAGCTTAAAGACATCCCTTTAGGGGCACCTGGCTGGCTCAGTTGGAAGAACGCATGACTCTTGATCTTGGTGTTGTGGATTCGAGCCTCACATTGGGTATAGAGATTACTAAAAAAATAAACTTAAAAAAAAAAAAGACATCCCTTTAACATTTCTGGTAAGGCCTGTTGAGTGGTGATGAACTCCTTTAGCTTTTGCTCATCTGGAAATTTATTTCTCCTTCCATTCTGAATAACAATGGGTAGAGAATTCTTGGTTGGGTAGAGAATTCTTGGTTGGAAGTTTTTTTCTTCCAGCACTTTAAATATATCATGCCAATCCCTTCTGGCCAGCAAATTTCTGTTGAAAAATCTGCTGATATTTTTTATGAGGGTTCCCTTGTATGTAACAAGTTGTTTTTCTCTTGGTGCTTTAAAGATTCTTTTGTCTTTAACTTTTGACATTTTAATTATAATGTGTCTCTACAGACCCATCTATATGCTGCCTGTAAGAATCACTTCAGATGTAAGGACACGAAGATGGAAAGTGAGAGGATGGAAAAAGATATTCTATGCTAAGGAAACCAAAGAAAGGCAGTATACCTACACTTATGTCAGACAAAACAGACTTTAAAAAGACTACAGTAAGAGAGGAAGAAGAACATTACATAATGATGAAGGGGTCAGTCCAGCAAGAGGATATAGCATTTGTAAATATTTACATTTCCAACATAGAAGCACCTAAATATATAAAACAAATATTAACACACCTTAAGGAAGAAATAAGCAGCAACAGAATAATAGTATGGGGCTTTAATAGCCCACTTTCATCAGTGGATAGCTCATCCAAGCAGAAAATCAGTATGGAAACAGTAGCCTTAAATGACGCATTATGCCAGGTGGCTCTAACAGATATATACAGAACATTCCATCCAAAGCAAGAGAATACACATTATTCTCAAACGCACAGAACATTCTCTAGGATAATCCTGTTAGACCACAAAACAGGGCTTAATAAATTTAAGAAGAGTGAAATCCTATCACAATCATATTTTCTAATCACAATGGTATGAAACTGGAAATCAATTACAAGAAGAAAACTGGAAAATACACAAAGATTTGGAGATTTAAAAACATGCTACAGAACAACCAGAGTCAAAGAAAAAAATCAAAAGAAATAAAAAAATACCTTGGGAGAAATGAAAATGGAAACACAACATGCCAAAACCTATAAAATGCTGCAAAAGCAGTTGTAAGAGCGAAGTTCACAGTGATAAATGCATACATTAATAAACAAAATCGATCTCAAATTAAAAACCCTACTTTATACCTCAAGGTACTAGAAAAAGAATACTCAGCCCCAAGTTAGTAGAGGAAGGAAATAGCAAAGATCAGAGTAGAAATGAATGAAAAGGAGACTAAAAAGACAGTAGAGAAGATCAATGAAACTAAGTTCTGATTCTTTGAAGAAATAAACAAGACTGGCAAATCTTTAGACTCACCAAGAAAAAAGAGAGGATTCAAATGAACAGAATCAAATGAAAGAGAAAGGTACCTGGGGCTCAATGGGTTAAGCATCCGACTTTATTTTATTTTTTTAAGATTTATTTATTTATTTGACAGAGAGACAGCGAGAGAGGGAACACAAGCAGGGGGATTGGGAGAGGAAGAAGCAGGCTCCCCGCTGAGCAGGTAGCCCCATGTGGGGCTCAATCCCAGGACCCTGGG